ATATCATGTAATCCAAGTACTCTCTGACACAGGACTTTCCTGCCAAAAGCTCATCCATACTCTTATTCAACATCTGTTGGAGTGGGATTGGGGTTCATGCCCTTTGAAGTATCTCTTTTATCTTTGGATAGCTATGACTGTTAAGATTTTGTTCTACCTATATGGTTTTGGTGAATAACTATAGTACCACTTCTACATAACAGTCTACAGAATATTTGAAAGTAGCTCATATGTCACACTGAGGCTGAATTATTTTTCTAGACATTGGTGGCAACCTGAAGTTGGTGAAGAATGAAGACTGTGTCTCCAACACAATGACTATGGAACATTTTTTGGAGATAAATTGGTCAATGTAAATGAAATTTCTCCAACAGATTCATTTATCTGATAAATTGACTCATAGTACATTAGAAAAATCTAGAGAAGACTTTACCCATGGCTCTACTCCTGAAGTCAGCCCCACAGACTCTCTGGGATTCTTATTACCCATAGATGGATTCCTACCAGCCATACTTGGCAAGTGTGAAATGAAGTTTATTGAGGAAGTACAAAATAGATTTATAGAGCAAGATATAGGTTTACAAAACAAGAACAAGATACGTTCGCCACAGAATGACAAACTGACCCCTCTGTCATAACAAAAGGATCACAAAGGATATTTTAACTAGGTGGGAAGTGACCACTTTTGTCCTGGGTCAGTCGTAGACATAATTGTCCTGCACACATGTGAGCTATGAGCATAGATGAGTGGATTGGGGAGAAGGGGAGCTCAAAGTTGTATGACTGACTGACTGGCTTTCAACTGGCACTGAAGACCAGCTGAATCTTGTTCAGTTCAGGAAAGACCAGATAAATCTCTCAGCCTCTGTAACCTGAGGCTGAAGTTGATTCCTTTCCACAGATTAGCAGAATTTAAAACCAATTTTACTTGAAAGAATTATTTTAATTTAAAACAAATTTAAAAGCAAATGCAGGTCCTACTTTTTACTTTCCTAGTACCTAGTTGATGAGATTCGCTGAGTAGCTTTAAAAATAAATAAACAAGAGGCTATGGCCTTATAAATTTAAAGCTTTTACAGCTTATTTAACATATTTTATTATCTCATAAAAACCTTGGTTCTGATAAGACCTGTAGGAGGACCAGAACCATACCATTAGATTTCATAAAACAATGAGGATAGATTCCAAACAGAATTAACAAAGGTATGAAATGAGTGGGGGGAAAAGTTGTGGGGACTCAACTGATCCATAGGAGACTCAGTTCTCATCACCTTATAAGATCGTTATAATAACTGCCTCGACTTCCGTCAATCAGGACCTCATTCTGCACAGCTGACTGAAAATATAAACAAGTAAAGTCCCTGGTTAAAACATTTTGACCTCAGATCTGTACCATGACTTTTCTGAACTGAGCTCCCTCCTGTTTAATGGCTTGTTGTAAACTTTTACTGACTTTGGGCACAGAACCTCCTGGTAGGAGAATATCGTTTATTCCCTTTTCAGAAGGGCTCACCTTTTGTTCCCCCAAATCATAGACTTACTAGACTCTGGACAGTTTACCTGAATCATACCCAGCCCATATGCCTAACTAATCATTAGTCTTTGTTACTCAGGACAATTTTCTCATGAAAAACCAATAGCCTTTTAGGCCTAGGTATTATGCTACAGATTCTCACTGCACTGTAATGCTTTTTACCACTTCATAGAAGTATCTACTGGGAGCATTTTCAGATTATGTGCAGCTTTTATTAACTGTTCCCCCTGTGGACAGGAATTGGTTATTGGCCAAGAAACATAAATTCAACATAGACTACTCTTGTCATCCTATCCCTATTAATGTGTATATAAAAATAGAGTCAGATTACTGACACAGATTACTGACACAAGAATTACTGTTAGTTGAGACGATCTTTTAACAGAGCAATTAACTTCTTCATAGTTTGTGCTCTGGCTCTCTTCTTTTGAACTAACATCTAAGTAATCTTATAAGCATATTTGGATATACTTAATTTAAACTCTCTTACAATGCAAACTATTTGGCTGATGCAATTCAAGTCTTGCAAACTTAAGAGTAGCATGAACAGACAACTCCACCCTGCTAGCTCATTATTGTCAGAAGGAAGGGCTACATGTCAAACATCCTTAAAACCAAAGGTAGTATATTTGTTTGGTGTCCGCATATTTTAATTGGTTTTAAAATAACAAGTCAGCCAACAAGTCACCTTATTTAGTTAGACTGGTATAAATGTCATAAGTTATCTTGGCAAATATTCAAGTAGTAGAACTATCAAAGATAGATATTTCATGAGTGCTTTATTAAGATTGTATTTTGGCTAAGGTGGGTATCTGGTTATGTCTCTTTTAAAAATTTTTTCAAGCTAAAAACATATTAACTGTGCTCTAAGAAATAAGATGTCAAGCCCTTTATTACCCATATGTTCATCTGATTAAATGACTTCAGATATTTGTTAAATCCTGGCCTTTCCAGTAGGTACAATTTCAGCTCACTGGGGGGGGGGGGTTGGCCTTCTCTCCTCATTTGGTTCTTTCACTTCCACGCAAAGATGTAAAACAGCTCCAGTGTCTGCCAAGATTCACGATGTATACTCAGCTGGCCTTATTCCTAGCTCCATCACATTTTCTCATCTTTTCTCTTTTTTGCCCTTAATTTTACTCATTCTATGTATGGTTTTTGTGTGCTGTTTTAAATCTTTTATGTAACAGATATTCAATAAACTAGTAGACGGGCAGACAGAGAGAAAAACTTGTCCTGTTTAAGAGTGGACCTGAACCCTACTGTGTAATACTCTTTAGTGTTTCTTAAACTCCTGATGGTCTTTCCAGCTACACCTGTACACATTTTCCACCACACCCATCACACACCAACATACTGAAGCAGTCACAACTCCCTAAGAAACTCCTCAAGTTCTTCTTCGGGACAAGCTCCTTAGCCATTTGGAACTCAGTTTCTTATCAGAAAAATGGGAATAATATCTCCCTTAGAGTGGTCATAATGATTGAATGTATTCATTTATGAAAAGCTCCTAACATGGCTCCTGGCATATAGTAAGTACACAGTAAATATTAGTTGTTATTGTGGTTGTTGTGGTAGTGGTGGTCGTATTTTTGCACAAATCCATGGCTTTGCACATATATTTTCTTCTTCCTTAAAGTAGTGCCTTGTCCAACTAGCAAATTTGTATTTATTTTTCTCATTAAGGCCCTTCCTGATTCCTATAAGGAAAATAAGTCTTTTTTCTCAGTACTTTAAAACATTTTATAGGCCTTTATTATTGTACTCAATACATTGTATTCTAATGATGTCTGATGTCTTCATGTGTTTATTTTCCCCACTAGATTGTGAAAGTTGGGGGACATATTCTTCTTAAGGATACCTCCGACACAGCACAGAAGAGATCACCAATATATGTTAGAGAAGGAAGGGAAGGGAAGGGAAGGGAAGGGAAGGGAAGGGAAGGGACAGGGAAGGAAGGGAAGGAAGGGAAGGGAAGGAAGGGAAGGAAGGGAAGGAAGGGAAGGGAAGAAGGAAGAGGAAGGAAGGAAGGAAGGAAGGAAGGAAGGAAGGAAGGAAGGAAGGAAGGAAGGAAGGAAAGGAAGGAGTAAGCAAACGAATGAATCCAATCTTCTGGCAGCTTTCCTGTCCTCCATCATTCCTGGAAGATGCCCAACAGTGATGCATTGATCTCATTTACAAATTCTGTCAGTGCGCTGAGTAACAGTTCCCAAGTTTATCACTCAGGGCATAAATTACTGTGGTTCTGCAAGATATTAATTCATTCACAGTGACTAATTTGCCTCCTATTTGATGATAATGCCAACTATTGAGTAAGGCAAAATTACTCAGCTTGCCAACCAAAAAAAACCAAAATCACTTATTCAGAAAATGGCTCATATAGGAAAGAAGCAGCTGCTTTTGCAATCGACACAGATGAGCTAAAATTTGGTTCTCTAGAAAAAAATTAATTTCGATGATTCATTTGGCTTCAGTGGTCAGGTTTTGGTGAAGACAAGGAAAGTGGAAATGAAGGATAAGGGAACACAGAATAGGTAAACACATTGATTTTCTTTATCCCTCCCTTTCTCTTTGGTGATTTTCCCTGTCTAGATTTTCTAAGTTATAGATGGAGGTTTCTTATTGATCTAGCCTGTTATATTGGAGAAAGAAATTCAGTCGGAAAAATAAAATTAATTGTAAACTGGAAACATTTTCTCATAAAGAGCAACAATTTTTCTCCCTTGTCATAACAAAGATCCTCTTTACAAACATCCTGTTTTTAAGATATTGTCCACTGGCAATAGAAGTCACGAGGGTGAGTAAAATTTTCCTACTTTTGTGAACCAGTATTTCAATCTCTGAAAATGCTACAATGTATGATATTTGTCTGATATCTTGTTAGACAATCTTAATAGTAACAGAGGTTGCCAAATTCTTTTCTGTAATGAAAAGATATATAATAACTAAAATGTAGATGAGGTTGCTATTCACATATCCTCCTCCCTGGTTCTCTTGCCACTGGAGGAGGGAATGACCACATGTAGATTAAAAAGTCTCTTTTCTTTCAACCCAGGTTATTTCCCAAACCAGTTTGTGAGATCCAACCATAGGTGATTAATTCCTACTTTTGTAACCAAAAAGTCTTCTCTATGATTAATCCTACTCTACTGTTATTCTCTTTATGTCTTCAAATAAACACTTATGTTTTCTATTTGTATTTTTTTTTTTTTTTTTTTACAGAGTCTCACTTTTGTTGCCCAGGCTAGACTGAGTGCCGTGGCGTCAGCCTCGCTCACAGCAACCTCAAATTCCTGGGCTCAAGCGAATCTACTGCCTTAGCCTCCCGAGTAGCTGGGACTACAGGCATGTGCCACCATGCCCGGCTAATTTTTTGTATATATACTTTTAGTTGGTCAATTAATTTCTTTCTATTTTTAGTAGAGACGGGGTCTCGCTCAGGCTGGTTTCGAACTCCCGACCTCGAGCAATCCGCCCGCCTCGGCCTCCCAGAGTGCTAGGATTACAGGTGTGAGCCACCGCGCCCGGCCTCTATTTGTATTTTGTGTGACATCTTTTCTAGCTCTTCTGGACTCCTTTATAACTATTGTTGTGCCTTTTGATTCACTTATTCTCATATTCAACGTTCTCCTCATTCTCACTCCCCCAAACCTACCTCAGACATGCAATTCCTTACCTCCTTCCAGCTCATCCTACACACCAATGCCATAGTATGAAAAAAGATCAAATTTTTTAATTCCTTTCCTTTTTTTCTAGGCACAGTCTCCCTCTGTTGCCCCAGGTAGAGTGCAGCGGCATCATCATAGCTCACTGCAACCTTAAACTCCTAGGCTCCAAGCGCTCATAATACATGAGTGGATTAATAAAATGTGGTATATGTATAGCATGGAGTTCTACTCAGCCACAAAAAACAATGGTGATCTAGTACCTCTTGTATTATCCTGGATAGAGCTGGAGCCTATTCTACTAAGTACCACAAGAATGGAAAAACAAGCACCACATGTACTCACCATCAAACTGATATTACTTGATCAACACACAAATAGTAATGACATTCATCAGGTGTCAGGGAGGTGAGCAGGGGAGGAGAGGATGGGTGTATTCATACCTAGTGCGTGCAGTGTGCACCGTCTGGGGGATGGACACACTTGAAGCTCTGACTCAAGTGGGGCAATGGCAATATATGTAGCCTAAACATTTGTGCCCCCGTAATATGCTAAAATAAAAAACAAAAACCTAGGCTCAAGCTGTCCTCCTGCTTCAGCCTTCTGAGTAGCTGGGGCTATAGGCGCATGCCATGATGCCAGGCTAATTAGAGACAGGGTCTCGCTCTTGCTCAGGCTGGTCACAAACTCCTGGGCTCAAGTGATCCTCCTGCCTCGGCCTCCCAAAGTGCTAGGATTACAGGCCTGAGCCACTGTGCCCAGGCCAGATTTCTTAATTTCATTGTAAGCCTTTTACAGTCTGGCCACGGTGGCTATATATCCTTCCACATCACCTATCATTTTGACTTTTAATTACCTCCCCCTCACTCAAATCTGCTTCTTCCCCAGTCTTCCCTAGATCAGTAGAAAATATGACTGGCCCGTTACTCAAATAAAAAATTTAAGAATTACCTTTAAGTCCTCTCTTTCATCTGCACATCCATTCCATCCCCAAGCCCCTTGACACTTCTGCCATAGTATTTGCCTAGTCTGTCCATTTCTGTCCACTTGTACTACTACCTACCCAAGCCACCATTACCATTCAGTTGGGCTCCTACATTAGCTCCCATTTGATCTTTTCTTTTCTCTCTACAGTATAGTTTCCATATGGAAGCCAAAGAAAGCTTTGTTAAAAACATAAATCAGATCATATCATTCCCCTGCTTAAAACCCTCAAGTGGCATTTTGGTCTTAGAGTAAAGTCCATACACCTGCCCTTGTGTCATCTGACCAATGTGGACTTCTTTGATTCTAGCCTTTACTGCTTCAGCATCTCACTGTGCACCAGCTACACTGGCATTCTTTGTATTCCTCTTACACACATTTTCACCTGAAAGCCTTAGCACTAGTTGTTCCTTCTGCTTATAATGTTCTTCCCCCTGAACATTGAATGACCACCATCATCGTCATTCAGCTGCCAGCCTAAACATCACTGTATTCCCTGACTATGAATATAAAGTAGGTGAAAGGTCATTGTCACCACCCCTGCATAGCATTTATCTAATATTTCTTCTTGTTGTTTTGTTGTTTGTTTGTTTTTCTTTATGTTTGTTTTCTATCATGTTCACTACTGAATTCGCCCATATCTAGAACAGTGTTTGGCTCTCAGTAAATAAGTATGAGTGAATCTTGCTTTCCAACCTCTATGCCCTATCCACAACAATGGACAGTATTTCTGATGGACAGTAATAGGAACAAAGACCAGAGGTAGATGGACTTGACATGGAAACAGAAAGGCTAAGAAACACTAAGAGAAAATGACCTGACTAGAGGGGAGCATCCTTGTTAAATGGTATTATAGTAAGAGACACAAGAATAAGATCTTCAACATCAGACTGAGAAAGTTTGGATCAAATTTGATAAGTTATAGGAGCCTTTTCCTGAACTTGGGGAAACATAGACTAGGAAGTCTACGAGGTCAGGAATGTTTGTTTTGGTTATTGCTATGAACCCCATACCTAGAGGAGTACTGAAACACAGTGGGTGCTCAATTAATAGAGGAGGGCATAAATGAATGAATTAATGACCATGATATTATCTCTAAGATGAATTGCTTGGAAGTAGTTTATAAGACCCAATAGAGATAAGAAGACTATAGAATAGACTTTTTTGAAACATAGACCATGTATTATAAAAGAGTTAAGTGATTCACTAAAATTCAGTTTCCTGTGCCTTTCCTAAGACCTACCTACTGAATCATCTAAGACTGGGACCAAGAATCTGAATGTACTGAGTTTCGTATGTCCCTCTGTGCACACTACAGTTTGAGAATGACTGCCCTGGAAGAGGTAAGATGATGATAGTCCTAAAGTGGGATCTATACTGGAGGGGCTTAGAGAACTTGCCAGAATTTTATGAAGTAGAGCAAAGAGTCAAGATGACCAATTTCCAACCTGGCAGGCAGAGACAATGATGGTGGTAGAACTTAGGAAACTTGTGCATTAGTATGAAAAGGACTTCTCATTTAAAAAACTTATAAGGTAATAGATTTTCACTTTTGGAAGACAATGCAAAGGTGTATGTAAAGGTGAAATGCAAGACTAAGCTTAGAAAATCATGTGCTTCTAAAACCATGTAAGATCCTGCACTGTAATAACTACCAAAGGTATTGCCACTGCATTCCATAGCATGAAGGTGCTAAAGACAAATTATTCTCATTTCTTTCTTATTGTCAAAATCTATATTAAAGACATGTTACTCCTGTTTATTTTGTACTGAAAGCATTGCATATGTCTCAGTAAATAGTTCTTTGTGCAATAAATCTTTGAAATTGGCTTCCTCCTAGCCATGAAACAGATAAAAATGCTAGAAAGCAAGAAAGGAGTGCCAGAGATCTAATTTGAGGAAAGATCTGAATGCAAATGTCTCTGGTAAACATTTTAGAAAGTTATTCAGTTTTCCATAGTTCAGATTTTATTTATAATTCTTAGGCTTTAGAATATAGAATCTATACTTAGAATCAGATTTTTTTTTTAATGTTAAGATGGGCTGAGGCCAGTAAATGCTACTCATGAGAAGAAATCTTTAAACATGGCACTACTTCTGGCACATGTTAGCCTCTGTGCTTTTGTGTTATGGAAAGCCTAGCATTTAGAATACCTAGGGAGTTGAATATCCAAAAGTAAACGATCCCTTCCCACCATGATGAATAGATATTTAATATATACTTCTAGAATGTTCATCAGAAAATCCCAATTTCTTCTTGTCAGTTCTCAATTAACCCCTGTCATATAAGAAAAGAAATAAGAGACACCAGCTGGTAGAAGCAAGTATTAGAACATGCATACAGCTACACTCAGGAGATTGCTTGCTTCGCTACAACCATTGTGGAGGCTCTGATTTTTGAGTCTGATGCAAAGTTAAAGGCAATCTATTAAATGATTGTATGTGAATTGTTCTGAAGATAGGGTCTTTCTGTTTTCTCTGCAAGTTAAACAAGAAGTAACGTCCACGAGTAACGTTGTACTCGTCATCAAATTGGTACTGACCGATTATCAATATTGTGCTCAAAGGGTGGTGGTGTTCACCAGAGATTCAGAGGGTGGGGGGTAGACACACATCTGAGGGATGAGGTGAACAGTGTAGAGGGGAAGGGCATACCTCTAACCCTTGCTAGGTAAAGGCAAAGTTATAAAATCTAACCAAAATGTTAAAAAAGAAAAAAACATTTATCAGGTGTTGGGCAAATTAGAGGGGGGAGGAAGGGGGAGGTATATATATATATATATATATATATATATATATATATATATATATATATATATATAATGTGCATTGTCAGGGGGATGGACATGCTTGAAGCTCTGACTTGAGGTGGGAGGGAAGGCAAGAGCAATGTATATAACCTTAACATTTGTACCCTCATATTATGCTAAAATAAAAAAAAGAAGAAGTAATGTTGACCCCCACTTTTAAAACACAAAAAATAAATAAATAAAACTACTGCTTGGTAATTAATGCCACAAAATTTGGGTCACATGTTAGTTAGGTATGGGATACAATAACCAATTAATTCATTGTTCCTATCAAGGAAGAATTTGAGGAAAGATCCGAATGCAAATGTGTCTGGTAAACATTTTAGAAAGTTGCTCAGTTTTCTGTAGTTCAAATTTTATTCGTATTAATAATTCTTAGGCTATAGAATAGAATCCTACGTCTTACAAAAAAAAAAAAAAAAAAAGCTAAGTAAGGCAGCATAGTTCACAGTAAGAATTTCTTCACCAATACCACCCCCGCCCCACCCCGAAAGATGTCTGGTGAAATCACCACATCAGTGATGACAACGTATTTCAACATAAAAGAGGACCAGAATTTGCTTCATAGATGACCATTCCTAGGGCATCTTTCTTAACAGGAATTCTAGGTCAAGAAACTGACACCTGACGAGGGAAACAGTTTGAAATCTCTAAAGCATGCTAATAATTACTACTGAACATATCCCAGTTCAAATATTAAAAGAAGAATTTTGAGGTTATTTATGCATTCAGTCAATAAGTCACCTGGGTACAACTTTGTATCCATATAGATACAGTCATGTTCAGTGCCAACTATAGGAACCATGCTAAACTCAATCCAGCAAAGATCCTCAGATTCTCCCAGGCCTCAGAGCACTAATTGGCACACAACCAGTGGCTTCTTTTGCTTGGTCCCCTCAGTGCCCAAGTTGCTTAGGGGATGCCCAGTGCAGAGACAGAGGAAGAGGAAATAAGTGATCCCTACCAGAAGGGCCAGAGCATTAGACGTAAACATCAAGTCAAATACTCCAAAAGAGAAAGGGCTTTTCTGTGTCCTTGGTATACGTGAAATGACTAACTTAAAAATTATGAAGCCTCTCTTCCTTCGTCTTCATACTGTAATACTTCTATCATTTTTATCGCTTTCTCCCACATGGATAAAGATCTAATCATACACTAGAAGGAAAAAGTATTTTCTTTCTAAAAAGAGATACAGTTTTGTGGTTTTCTACATGTCAAGGACAACTGAACTCAGAAGGCATAAATTAGATTTATTTAGAGTTCACTGAATTTAGACAAGACTAAATTGTGATATTTTATTTCAATCAAGTTTGGTCTTAAAAATCATGCCACTGTGTCCTAAAGGAATATTTTTATTTTTATAAATATAAGATTTAAAGACCTTTTGTAAGTGGTAGATTATATTAATTTTTAGGCATATTTTAATCATTTAGCAAAGTGCTAATAACCAATTACATTTAATGAATTTTTTAAAAAAGAAAACTTCAAAACTCAACTCTCTTTAAATCTACTGTGTTATTATTTACCTTTATTCATCAGGGTGATTGTGCTATGATTACCTGGAAATAAATGCTCCTAACAAACTTTGCTACATGTCTAGTCCCCCTTTCAACAATAGCTAATCAAATATGTTTAAAAAGCAAAAATCAAATTCATTCTTTATAGTCAACAATCACAAAATGCTTTTTTGGCAAAAGGTTATAATGCTTTTTATAAGGCATTAAAAAGTATAGTACCAGAGACATAAATATGAGAGAAATGAGCCACTTTCAATAATTTAGTTTAAAAACAATTAACCTTGGGTCATTTCTTAAAGTTAATCTTCTATGTCAAGAAAAGTGAGAGTAATGTAGAGAAGTGTAATACCTTGTACTAAGTATTTCAAATCCAGGACTTTCATCTATAGTATAAGTATATAAAGAAAGAATTGTTTAATAACAGTTCAGGTACTCCCAAGCTATGAACACCCATCTTGCAAACATCAAAAATTTGTGAGCAAAAGGATGCACCTTCTCGTCACTCAGCTGCAAAAACATAAATTGGTACCAGTTCTGGAAACTTCCTGTCATCTCTTCTCTATCACTGTCATTCTGTATCTTCAGGAAGATCATGCACAAGCCAGTCACTGAAAGTTAACAGGTGTCTCTAATGGAGATCCCTTCTCCGTTACTGGATCTCTTCCCAGTGTATTAAAAGTTAAAGAAATGTTAAAACAAGATCACAAAATTTCTAGCATTTTTTAAAAGTTCGATCTTAGCAGTGAACCTCAATGACAGTGTGGAGAGTCTCTTTAGGAGACAACATCAAGAATCTAAATTTGAGGCTCTTCTTGAAGATGAGTACAGACCAAATGGCACTCCTGGCTCTCTCTATAATTAGCCCTGCTATTTACTCCCAGCTTTCACTCCCTTGCAGCGTTCTAACAGGTTTCTCTGCTACCAGTATTTCACACCTACACTCCATCCTCCATAATGCTGCTAGAGTTATCTTTCTAAAATTCCCATTTGGTTATGTTATTCCTTCCCCTGCTTAAACACCCCCCTCTCAGGTCCCCTCTCAGGTCTGTAGGCTAATCCATAATAGCTTTTTTCCTGTGGAGAAATGTATTTTAAGTTACAATCTGCCTTAAAATCCTTTTGGAACTTTTGGGAGCAGATTGTAGGTTGTAGATTCTCCACTGAGATTACAAAACCTATTATGTACTAATTTAAGTTATTCATTCAGGCTTCATGTGGAGACCACAGAGCCTTTCTTGTTCCAGCCCTGGCTGGCCCCTCCATTCTCATTCCAGTGCATTTCTCCTCCCACTCAGCCTCTGCACTGTGTACACCTTCTCCACTCACCCTCTTCCCTGAGCCTGATTTGCTCTTACTCTCATCTGCCGGCAAAGTACCTGCTCCTCTTGCAAGATTCACCACAAGCCTTTCACTAACTCTCTCAGGAGGCTCCGGCCAACTTCCTTTCGGCCCCATTGTACCTTTCATAGTTTTTACAACACTGTTGTGCTTGTTTGTTTATGAATGTAACTCCCCTTACTACCCTTGAAGTTTCTTAAGAGCAGGGAGTGTGTTTTTATCCACTTTTGCATATAGCCTCAGAGTCTGGAGCACAGAGAGTACTAGATTAACATGTTTTACAATGTTGTCATCTTTGTAGTCGTTCCGTTTACTTGATTTTTCTTCACTTGTTTTCTTTCTCCTCTCCATTCCACTTTTGAATTTTAAAAATCACTTTAATCTTGACTGATAAGCAGAAAATAGTGTTTTCAAAGACTTTTATCATGAGTATGTAGAATTATGTTTTGAAGGGAAATTCTACATAATTTTTAAAGAGCCATCAGCTTCCAAAGTTCTTTGAGAATATAAACCTCTCCATGACAATTTCTTCATCTTCTTATACTTAAATCTACTTCTCTTTAAGCACAGAGAGACAAGAAAATTTTGACTTTTTATTCAATTTTATGATTTCTCTCTTTTGGTTTTATTGCTGCAGTATTTTTTTTCCTGCTACTTGTTCATTTCAAATATGTAATG